GAGAGAGAGAGAGAGAGAGAGAGAGGGAGAGAGAGAGGGAGAGCGAGCTGGGCAAAGCTGCATGTGTTCATAGCCCAGCACAGGGTGTCTATGATGATGACCCAGGGGCCTACTGGTCAGCCAGCACAGACTAAGGAGCTTCCAGATCAGGGCATAAGACACCCAATGTCCTGCTCTGGCCTCCACATGGGCACACGTGGGTGTACATGCACACATGCATGTACCAAACAAGCCACACGTACACACAGAAAAGGGGAAGATATACAGTGGAACCATGGGGGCCAGGTCCCCTGGTCTGAGAGCGCACACAGTGGCCTGGTGACATTCATTAAAATAAAGCATCCTAGTGGCCAATCAAAAGAGGACAGAGGGTGACTGTTCCATGGTGGGACTATGGATTGTCACAAAGTGTCCCCTTGGAAGGTAAAGGCACTGCTCTATAGCAGTGTCTTACTTGCTAGAAGGCTTCAGGCCCAGGGCAGCCTGCACGCCTGTGAGGAGAGCTTACCAATCAGTGGAAAGTGGGGTTTTCCAGCAGAGGTCACAGGATTAGGGGCTCACTGCAGAGAAGCTTCATGGAGGAGAGGCGGGAAGGAGGGAGAGCCAGAGTTAGGAGGACTGACTCCTGGAAACGGGCACAGATTCACTCTAGACGAGCTGCCCCTGCCAGCACTGCCACCCTCTGAGTTCAGGAGTTGGGGGATAAGAAAGAGGAGAGTGTTTTGCAATGTGTCACAGTCAGAGATGGGAAAGAATGGGGGAGAGATCCACAGGACATACCGATTCACCCACAATGAGCTGGGCCTCCTGTATTTCAACCAGGAAGAGAAATGAGGGACAAAAAACACCCCCCTTTCCCTTCTGAGCTGTGCGATTGGGCCACCTTGTCCCAGGCCTTTTGGTACTACCAAAGAGTCGCTTTGGTCAAGAACCTTTAGTTGCCAGGGGGAAGAAGGAGGACCTTTGGCTGGAAAGTCTGTTGAGGCTGGGTTACTCTCCCTGAGAGCTGAGCTGTCTTCAAGAGCATGTTTGTTCCACACAAGAGTGGCCCTGGCCAGGCCCCATCAGATGGCCCGGAGTCTCAGGATTAAGAGAAAGACCCAGAAGAATCTACACCCTCGCTCCCAGGGCAATGATGAGTGCACTAGAACGCAGACACCTTTAGGTTCCACTGGGGAGTGGCCCCGGCTAGAGACATCACGTGTTTCTTAGTATATATGCCACTCGCCAAGGGCTTCGGGTGAAAAGGCCATGTGGGGATATGGTGACAGGCTGATGATTGACAGGTTGATGATGCAGGTGTCCAAAGTGAAGGAAGGTAATTCATTAGATCAGCTGTAGCAGGTTAGGCAGTGGGAACTGTGTACAGGCACTCTCAGGGGCTGTTTCTGTGAGGAGGTTCTGTGTGGGCAGTCAGGCTGTGATGTCCTGTAGCTATGTCAATTCCTCGGCCAGCAAGATGTCTGAATAGGTAAAGGTGCCTGCTGCCAACCTGATGAGGCCCATGGAAGAACCTGGTAGAGGACCAGTTCCTGCAAGCTGACCTCTGACCTCCCCATACACAATGTGAGATTTATGCATGCATAAATGCACACCGCTCACAGACAAAATTAATAAATAGATACACAAATGTAAAACATTTTCTAGCGTGGTTCAACATGACCATTCATCCTAAATGGCACCTGCAGGGCGTGTGGAGGCAGCATGCAGGGTGATAGGGAGAACTCCCTGATGCACCTGTACCACCACCACCACCCCCGACTCCCACCCCCCCATCCCTCCTACCCCCTCATCCTGCATTAGCCCAGAGATGACTTAAGAGCAGGCTGAGCCCAGAGGTCACATTTTCTCACCTTTGTTTATCTTTTCGTTTCTTGTACAATAGTCTGCTAAGAGGAGAGGTGTTTTCCCTGCAGTTTAACAACAGCCACTGGGTCCAGCCAATCCAGCATCCTTCAGGCCAGCTTCACTACTACCGCAGGAAGTCCTATCTATGCTACCAGCTGGAGCAGTCCAATGGCCAAGAATCACTCAAAGGCTGCCTGCTAAGCAAGGTACTAGACGGGTTCTCAGAGCCAGATCAAGAGGCAGCCAGGGTCTTCCCTTGCCCCTCCAAGACTTCATGAGCACCATGAAGGTCCCGACCTTCACTTCCTCTCTCTTAACACACTGGGGCGCAGTCTTTCTTGCTTGTCCTGAATCTTTCGAGGCTGTTCCCTTGCATATAACACATGCTTCCTGCCACGCGGGGTGCGCTCCTTGTTTGATCGTCCTCCCAGGTCTGCTTTTTTACTGCCTTGAGGAAACAATGAACTAGACACACTGGCCTCTTCACTGCTGTCTCCCAGGCTGCCTGTCCTTCCTTTTCACTACAACCTGCTCTTCGGTTAAAACATCTTTGGAAAACTCTTCCCGAACTTAATGGTGGCGCCCCTTTACTCTCAGCACTTGGGAGGCGTTCGTAGCCAGCTTGGATTACATAATGAGTTCCGGGGTCAGCATCCTGAAGTGAGGTCACAGAATTGGGGATCATGACTTGAAAGTACCATCTGTTTGCTGAACCCTTTTCTCCGGGCACCTCTGGGATTCTTGTCCAATTTAGAAGAGGCTGTAGCCTGGCGGTCGTGGCCCACGCCTTTAATCCCAGCACTTGGGAGGCAGAGGCAGGCGGATTTCTGAGTTCGAGGCCAGCCTGGTCTACAGAGTGAGTTTCAGGACAGCCAGGACTACACAGAGAAACCCTGACTCGAAGAAGAAAAAAAAAAAAGAAAGAAAGAAAGAAAGAAAGAAAGAAAGAAAGAAAGAAAGAAAGAAAGAAAAGAAAAGGAAAAGGCTGTGGTGCTTTATGAATGTGGAGTTAGTGGTTGAATACAGAAAGAGGGTTTCTTCCTGTGCTAGGCAAGACATTAGGAAATTCACAAGGTAGAGCCCCTGGTCTCCAAGCTCCCGGGGGCGCCCCGCCCAGTCTCATACTGTCTCATCTGGTTTCTGCCTTCCAACCTCTTTCTGTCCGGACTCCCCACAGAAAGGTAAACCGCATGCGGAAATCCTCTTCCTTGATAAGATGTGGTCCATGGAGGAGCTTAGCCAAGTGAGAATCACCTGCTACCTCACCTGGAGCCCCTGCCCGAACTGTGCCCGGCAACTGGCTGCATTCAAAAAGGATCACCCAGGCCTAATTCTGCGTATCTATACCTCCCGCCTGTATTTCTACTGGAGGAGGAAGTTCCAGAAGGGGCTGTGTTCTCTGTGGCGATCAGGGATCCAAGTGGACGTCATGGATCTCCCACGTAAGGAGGGACCACGGCCACCAGTGGGCAAAGGTTTTCCGGCTTCAACAGGGCAAGCCGTGGCCGGGAGGATGGAGGAGAAGCTGGGCAGGAAGGGAGGATGCTAGCCCTGCTGAGGCCAAACTTTTGCCTCCACCCGACTGGGCAGAGTCTATGAAGAGAGTAACACCCTGAGAAGGGAAGGGAGTAGGGAAAACCTCTGCACGGCCTGGGGATTCACCAGCTACCCTCTTTTTCATTTCAGAGTTTACTGACTGCTGGACAAACTTTGTGACCCCGCAAAGGCCATTTATGCCATGGAATAAACTGGAGAAAAACAGCTGTCGCATAAAAAAGCGGCTCCGGAAGATCAAGGAGGTGAGACTCACCTGGCTGCAGGCCCCGCCTTCTAGTGCAGACTCCGCCCCTTCAAACCCAGCCCCATTACAGCCCCTACCTGTTGCAGCAGAACTCTCAGTCCTGGGCCCAGGCTTCTTGTTGCCGGCCCTGACTGCCTCTTTCCATGTTCCTTGGGTGCCCCTCCCTTCACTCTCCCCTGAGGCCAGCCTCTCCTCTCCACACCTCTCTGTCCCGGTTCTTAACTACAACATCCCTGTTGCTTTTCTTCCTCGCACTCATTGGCGCAACCGTATTTCTTTCCCAACAGTCCTGGGGCCTGCAAGATTTGGTGAATGACTTTGAAAATTTACATCTTGGACCTCCGTTGTCTTGAACAGCAAGAAGAGATTCAAGAAGGTTTTTTGGTGACCACCGCCCAGCCCCAAGCCTAGGAGACCCTTTGCTCTCCTATTTCGTTTTCCCCTTTTTTTTTTTTTTTTTTTTTGTTGTTGTTGTTGTTGTGTTTGCTTTGTTTTGAAGACAGGGTCTCACGGGTAGCTTGCTCCTCTAGAACTAGACCAAGCTGGCCTTAAACTCTAAAATCCACCTACCAATACCTTCTGAGAGCTGGGTTTAAGGTATGCGCCGCCCGTTCCCAGCCCTGAGCCACTGTTCTGGAGCCGTGGGCCACCATTCCAGGCCTTTTCTTCCTCTTTCTTTTATATCTTTTTACCTTTTTTTTTTTTTTCCATCAATAGGTGCTTAATTTTGTACTTGAAAATTTTAAGTTGGGCCAGGCATGGTGGAGCAACATGAGGCAGGAGGATCTCCATGAGTTCAAGGCCAGCCTGATCTACATAGGTTCCAGGACAGCCAGAACTACACAGAGAGACCCTGTCTCAAAAATAAATAAATAAATAAATAAATAAATAAATAAATAAATGGAAGAAGTAAAAGAAAGAAAGACAAGATTAAGTTGTGCATGATGGGTCGTGTGTGTCTGAGGCAGGAGGATTGCCACACATTTGAGGTCATCCTGGGCTATACAATGAGATCCTGTCTCAAAACAAAACACCAAAAAGAACAGTTTAAAAATCTAATAACCTGAGCTCTTTTCTAATAAAGTGGACAACCAGGCCCCCTCACGCATCAGAGTGTGCATGACAAGGAAGAGAGCTGGCGAGATGCCTCACGGGAGAGCGAGATGGCTCGCGGGAGAGCGAGATGCCTCACGGGAGAGCGAGATGGCTGCCCATGAAGATTAGAGTTGAGATCCCAGCACCCACCTCCTGCAGCTCACAATTGCTGAGTCTAGCTGCAGGATACCTTGTGCCCTCTCCTGGACTCTGTGGCACCTCGTGTGTGTGTGTGTGTGTGTGTGTGTGTGTGTGTGTGTGTCTAAAGTATGTATATATACATATATGCAATATATATGTATACACACATATATAAAGAGTTCGATTGAGAAAGAACTTCTGGCCTCCACATGAGTATGTATGTGTAGCACACACCACACACATGCGCACGCACGCACACACACACACACACACACCACAAAAAATGGCATACGCCTCTCTGGAAACACTGTTAGACATATCCAAACGTGTGTCCAAATCCAGTGAGGATAACAGTGTTAACTGTCTTTTAAAAGTCTTCCTCTTGTTGCTCTTTGATAGAATATTCCATCTTGGTCCTCAGGTTTTTGCCTGTTTCATTACACAGAATGCATTTGGTTCATTTGGAAGATACCCAAAAATCCTCTTTTGTTCATTGTTATTTTTATGTGTTTGGATGCTTTACCTGCATGTGTACCTGTGCACCATGTGTGCCTGGTGCACACAGAGGCTGGAGAAGGATGTGGAGTCCCTGGGGTTGGATTTACATATCAGCAAGAGCAACTGTGTAAGCCTTGAGGGTGGTGCCTGCGCCTTCTGGAGCAGCTGGTGGTCCTAACTGTTAAGCCTTCCTCCTAGACCTAGGCCCTAAAAAAAAATATTTTTAGAGGTGGGGCTTTTTTTTTCGAGACAGGTTTCTCTTTGTGTATCCCTATCCTGAGCCACCACTGCCTGCCGAAACATTTTTTTTTTTTTATGAAAGCTTTAATTTATTCCCTCACCAAAGACAATCAATGGGGGTGAAAGGTCAAGATTTTACTGTCTTCATAACAAAATCGGCTTAGAACTGGATCACTTGGCCCTTTCTCTTCTTGTCACCTCCCAGTTCAAAATGCTTGCACCTCTTAATAGCCAGCATCCTCTTAGATCTGCAGTTGGGCTCGACACACTCCAGTCGCAGCACGATCTTCTTTGTAGTTTTAGCCTTTTTGCGGAAAATAGGCTTAGTCTGACCACCATAGCCACTCTGTTTCCTGTCATAACGCCGCTTTCCCTGGGCATACAAAGAATCCTTGTCCTTCTTGTACTGGGTCACCTTGTGGGGTTGGTGCTTCCCACATTTCTTGCAGAATGTCCAGCGGGTCTTAGGAACGTTCACCATGTTGGCAGGAGCGCTATCAGCTCAGCCTACTGTAACATCTTAACAGTTCATACAGAATTCAAAATACCAGTGCCAAGGCAACTGCTTAATACTAAGCTTCTGCAAAAAAAAAAAAAAAAAAACCCAACAACAACAAAACAAACAAACAAAATCCAGAAAATCATACAAGTTACACACTTCCAGGACATGATATCACGGAGTAAACACTTTGACTCCAAAAGTGGGGAATGGAGGTATTGCAAGGAAAGTTTTATCAAAGCAAGACCAAAACCCAGCAGTACAAACACCAAAGCCTACGGCTCTGTCTGCCATGTCCGCCACCTGAGGCTGATGGCTCACCTCTCCAGCTCTGTCATCTGCATTGACATGTAACATCCCTTGGGACAAGTCTATCCCATGGCCTGCTTTCTTTTGCGCATGCTCCTGGCATGTATAAAACACGGAGGTCTCCATCAACACTTAGCCTTCACCATCACAGCTTCCTTACTGGTAATTCAAGTCTGACATTGATTTACCTAGAAGTTTCTGGACTCTTGGTGCAACCCCCAACCCCACCCCATCACAATTGGCATTTTGCATGCCAGCAAAACCAATATCGTGTGGATGATAGATCTGCGTTCTGCTCCTAAGTTTAATGCCCACACTCACACTGCCCAGCAGTGTCTCCTAGGTGACTCCTAATCTAGCCACAAAGGTTAACCTCACATGCCACATACATAGTACAGGTTGAAAAGAAAAACAAAAAACATCTCAGAATAGTATTGTTCAGGGTTCTTAGCTGAAGCAGTAATAGTAGCAACTCCAGCTAATCAAATACAAATAAAAAGATGTTGAAGGTTGGTTTGATTAAGCATTTGAAGCTGTTGACCATCTCACTGAATCCCGAGGAAAGATAGTGGTCTGGGCTGGGGAACCTAAAAGCCAGAAGGGACCCCAGGACTAGTGTTCAGTCAGGGTTGACAGCAGAGCTAGTGCATAGGCTGTTCTGCCCACACCACCCACATCTGGACTGGATGCTGACACAGAACATCTGCCGCGGCGGCAACCTGCATTCCCAGAATGAAGGAAGGTAAGGAGGAACTAAGTCACAGTAACTAATGCGCACCACACAAGAAGAAAGGGAGCCGGGTGGGTCACACTAAATGTAAAGAACATTTAGACTTTAGAGTCGGGCAGATTTGGGGCCTATTTGGTTAGATGAGATCTAAACTATTTGTGTGGCTGTGACGGACATTATACTGTCAGTCCAAAAATCCAAAGCAACCCAAGCAGGCACAAGAATCCAGCAAAGCAAGATCTTTATTTGAATTGGGCAGCAAAAACTGACCAGTTAAGCTCTGGTTGTCCTGGAACTCACTCTGTAGACCAAGGTGGCCTGAAACTTAGAGATCTGCCTGCCTCTGCCTCCCCAGTGCTGGGATTAAAAGTGTGCACCACCATGCCTGGCCTGAAGGACACTTTTAAGAATTTGTTTTCCTCTCAAGTCAAGGTCTCATGCATCTTAGAGTAGCCTCAAGCTCACTGTGTACTAAAGATGACTTTGTACTCCAGATCTTCCTGCCTCTGTGTCTGCGGTGCCTAGGATCACAGGACAGTACCACCATACTATTTTCTGTGGTGCTGAGGGCTAAACACAGGGCTCATGCTAGGCAAGTACTCTACCAACTGAGTTACACCCTTAAGGCGTTTCTTTTCAATCTTCAAAATTCCAGGCAGAGAGCGGGGCAGTAGTATCCGCCCTCCCCAAGGCTGCCGCTGACCCTGCGGTTCACTGCTCCTCTCCAGAAGAGAGGAGCTTGCTGGAAGTTGGAGCTGTACCTAGGGAGTCTTACTGCTCCTACTCCCAGTGGAGACTAAGACAGTCTCAGAGGGAAGGCCTGGTAAGATGAAGGTAAGATATAGGGCCCTGGGCCCCTCAGATGAATGCTGACATGTGGAAATGCCAGCGGAGGGGACTGAAGGAGAGAGATGAATACTGTCCACTGCAACCTTGGGGCCAGTACCAGCTCCAAGGACCAGTGGCCATCCTACCAAGAAGTTCATTCTTGTCCCTTTTGTTGGATTGTCCCCAGCCACCTCTGGAGAATCCTGGAGTGTGGGCTCCCTGTGGGATTGAGCTTGGTAGAGCAGTGGATACCACATCTGCAGCGGCTCTCCTGACAACACCTCATCTTAGCTGTGGATTGACATATGGAAGGTTCCTTTACAGGTGTCAAGTCTTTGCTGTCCAGCTCCACCCCACAGGCCACTGAGGGAAGCGAGGACAGTTGTGCTCACACCCGTGCATGCTTTCTGCACTGTCTGCCTGTGCTGGGGTTGGCAGGTGTGCATAGTCTGCGCAAGCCTGAGTTAACCTCATGATTAGCCTGGGTTCTCCAGCCTGAGACTCAGGCTGCTGACACCAGGCTTGTAGTACAAGGTACTCTTAGAAGACGTAGAGGAATGAATGGCAAGGCCCACAGCAGCAGTCCCAGCCTCTAATGACACTGCAGGCCAGCCCTGACACACTAGGCTCATTTCTGTCCTCAGCTAATTTTCACTGGGTTCAGAAGATTGAATGACTTGTTGTGAGGCATAGGGTCCTGGGCTGCAGTTTGGGGTGGGGGGGAAGTATATTTCATACAGTTGTGACACCATCAAAACAAACAACCAGACACATAGAAATTTCTACAGTCATTTAATGTATTTTTTTAATAATTTTTGCCTCATCTACCAGATAAATCATCTAAATAAATAGATGCTATAGTCTCTTACCAATATCAGTACAAAAATAAAACCGCAGTCTACACCTGCTGACTTCCCAGCACACACTCCCCAGGGCGGGGGACCTAGGCCCAATTCCTCCCAATACATTCAGGTAGTCTGAACAAAGCTCATAGCTCATTCTGTGCAAAGGAAGCGGTCTTGTGCTGAGACCTGGCGGCCAGGTGTGGTCCGCCATTTATAAAGCAAAATCGATGCCACCTCACTGGCACTGAGGTCCTTCCTCAGTGGGCAGGAGGTGGAAGGAACTTGGCAATAAGATCACCATCTTACCAGATGAGAACCACATGGCCCGAATGGGCTCAACTGTGGCGCTGCGAGTGTCCACACTACAGGCTGAGGCATATCTTCACCCCAGCTCAGTGAGGGAAAGTACAACCCAATCTCTACATTCAAGTGGGTGGGGCCAGGGGAAAGATAGGCAGGTGGCCACCACTCCTTGCTAGAGTACTGGCCCTGTTATGGGGTTAGTGTATATATGCGGGTGGAGGGGGTTTACTGTCCACTTAGGTAGGTAGCTTCAGGCTGGGAGAAGCCTTTGTGGCCACTCGAAGCCTTCAGCCATTCTCCCTAGGTGGCCAGTTCCCTGCAGTCCAGAGCTGCATGGCTACCCTGAGGGATACCCAGTCTAGGCCACATCTCCAGGAACTGGTAGGTTTCACAAAGGGCCCTGTGAGAGAAAAGGACACCGCCTACTGCTAAAGACAGAAGACAGCTGCCGGGCAGGTCCCCCCTCCCTGAGCCTCACGATCCAAACAAACTACAGGCGTTTAGTCTCATGCCCCTAGGAATGGGGAGCATGACATCAACGGGATGCTGTCCCCCAATATTGTGGGCCATCAAACCCAGCAGCAAAGACCCACCCTCACCTTCTTTCCAGGAGCTGGGACCTCAAGAACAGCAAGCTTCTCCCCACTCCCAGGCTCCTGCAGCCCACTGACTGAGTCTCCTCCTCTCTCTCCGCTCCCTGGCCCACCCAGACATCCTCTAGATTCAGGACCCAGGAAGGAGGCGAAGCAGGTCACCCACAGAAGACTGCCCCCAGTGGAAGCACTGAGTTAACCCTGGACAACTGAGAATTAAGGAGGGGAGACCAGGGACAAGAAAAGGTAGAAGACAGAATCCCAGACAGACACAGGGCGCAGGATCTTTGGTTTGGGAATGGGAGTGTCTAGAAGTCATCCTGCCCTTGTTCATACAGACTCTGCTGACCTAAAGACACAACAGAATCGGTAGCTGCTAGGACCCAGCCACATAGCTTCTATGGGAGCAGGGGGTGAGAGCAATGCGCCTTTGACAAGGGAGGGGCCCTTCCTCAGGTGGGAAGGTGTCAGCCTAGAGGACGCCTGTGCAAACTAGCAAGCCACCCCCTTACCAGGACCACACACTCGTGTGCAACCTGTCTCACGTATCATAGTTCAATCCCCAAAAGGTGTGAGGGGTTATCCTTAGCCGTGCCATTCAGGTTGGGGGGGGGGGGACACAGAAGACAAGGACTGCCCTGAGAAAGTGGTGGGACACTCCCTCCCTGACTGCCCACACACTGGCACCCACGGGTGCTCAGATCGGCTGAGCTGCAGGAGAGGGCAGAGAAAGGGGCTGGAAGTCACCTGAGTCAGAGAGAATGTGACTCTCCTGCAGGAGGAGGGGTGGGCCGGGTGCTTGTGAGCCTGTGTGGAAGGAACTGCCCCTTGGACACCAAAGCCTGGGCCTATCTGCGGCTCAGATTACACGCCACCAAGTCCCAGCTGTTTGCCAAGACAGCTGCAAACCAACAGAGACCGATCCTGTCACACGACATACGTGCAAGGTGGAGCAAGGGTGCCGTGGGAAGTTCGTTTGTGCTGTGAGTGACGCCATGGTCACCTGGTCAGTTTCTAAAGGTGTGCAAGGTCCATGTGGACAGGACTATAGACATGGGGCGGGTGTGAACACACTCGGTGTGTGCACATCGGGGTGGCTGGATGTGTTCACGGGCATCTCTACACAGGCCAATGACTGGGTGACAGCACACTCAGGAGGCTTGGGTAGTCTCTTCCCTGGTCCAGCCCATGCTTGTTGTCCTGATCCTGTCCCTGGTGGCCAAGGCCAGCCTCCAAGTCCCACCACAAAGCTGGAGCGGGAAGTTCATAGTAAACACCCATGTGACGGAACAGGGAGGGAAACCACCAGAAAGCTGGGTGACTGCTTGAGGCAAGGTCTGGACCTCTGGGGTTCCTCCGACTTCCACTGATCAGCCTCTGAAAGATAATGACAGAGGCGTACTGGGCAGGGTAGCCTGTCCCCATCTGCCCTGGAGATGAGACCCAAACAACACGGCCTTCCCACCCTGTCCCAGAGGCCTCTTTGTAAACAACCCTCGCGGAGCAAGGGCAGGGTGGTGGGATCTTCCCCATGCTTCTGCTTTTTTAAAAAATAAAATATTTACCCTGCTCCCAGCCCCTCCTGTCTCTGGAATTCCTCACCCAAGCCCCAAGAAACACAGTTTAAGAGTGGAAGCCGGTATTCACAGCTTCCCACTGCGGTCTCGGAAGAAGCCCTCGGCGGCTTGAGCCTCGCGGAAGGTGACGGTGACGGAGTTGGCGGTGATGTCAGTCACGGTAACTTCACTTGAGGGGAGCGCGGGTGTCCAGGGAGGCGGCCCGTTGGCCAGGTCTGCTTCTGCTGCAGCCATGGAACAAAGACACAGATGAGGCACAGGCTGGCACCAAGTGGGCAGTCAGACGTAGGGAGAAGCATGCACCCCATCCCCCATATGCTTGAAGCTGGATGCTTAGAAGGGCATACATGCACCTGGCAGCTAAACATCAGGATGGGCAGGGGTCAGGCCCAAATCAGTCCTGACTGCTCCACAGTTGTCTCCAGGCCCCGTGGACAAGGGTCAGGGACCTTTCAGGCTTTGAGGTCTCAGGATGACTGCCTTACCCTCCTCCTCAGGGGGCTGCTCCACAGGCTCCCAGTCTCCAACAGCGGCTTGCAGGACATCTGGGGCTGCTGACTCCTGCAGGGAAAGCTCCCGTCGATGGCTGTGACTCTCCAGGTGGGGCCCGCGTGGCGGGAACTTCTTTCGTGAGAGCCGCAGGTACTTGTGGGCCTTGCGTGGCTTGCAGAGCGGGAAGGGCAGGATGGGCACCAAGGGGCCCTTCTCCACCAGCTCAGCTGCCCCTGCCTTGACCACCCCCTTGGGGCTCCCGCTGCCGAGTGGGCGCGCCAGAGAGAAGCAGAGCTTCTCCATGCCCTTGGCTTTGTGGGAGCTCCGCAGGTCCATGCTGTACAGCCGCTGCAGGGGCAAGCCAGGGCGTGGCGGGTCAGCCCGCCCCCCACTGCCGTACCTTCGCTCTCACTGTAATTCCCCCAGTATACCCAGCCTCATTTGCATCTGTCCTACCTGCCCCTCCCCTGTCCCTGGGCTAGGGACCACAGCCTACTCTCAAACACGCTGAGCTCAGTCATCCCTCTTAGCCTCAAATGTGGGCCTTGTCTCCCGGGGGCTGAGGATCGAGGCTGCAGGCGCTTACTCCTTTGATCCACAGTAGAAGAGCACCAAGCAAACATTGAAACCAACACAACAGGGGTAGGGGCACAGCCTGGGGGCACCGCGTTTGCCTAGCAATTGCACGGTCCCGGGTTCAATATCAAGTGCTATGCAAAAAAAAAAAAAAACTAGATTTCTTAAGTAGACACATTATGGAGATTGTCTGCCTTTTAGGACACAGAACTTTGCCTCCCAAGGAGCCTTGAATGCTGAAACAGTAGCTCTTCAGGGAGACTGCAGGGGTGAAGGGAGAAGCCACTGCTAGAGTCAGGGGACAACCTAGCCTGCACAAACAGCACCCCACACAGACCCGCTGCTCCCACACAGACATTCCTGGGCTCTGGAGCTGCCCTCAGCCCACTCTAGAGTCTCTCCTGCCAGCTCAGCCTTGGTGAAGAAAAGCAGGAGTGAACACTCACACACCTGAGGGCTGAAACTCTAGAATGGGGGGGTGGGGAATCTGTCTTTCCAACTCTGGGTATAATTTGCACATATCAAAAAACAAAACAAAACCCTAGTGTGAGGAAGATCTCCCATTACTCTGCATTTTCTGCCACATGCCACCAGAGGCTAAGAGTTCCATCAAGGAACTATCAAATGGGGGCACAAGATTACAAACTGTCATGGTGGCCCAAGGCAGTCCCACATCCCACCCTGCCGTTGGTCATCTGGCAGGCAGAGGAGGTTGAGGGGTGTGTGTGGCCCTCACCCTGACAGCTCCAGATCACAGCTGGAGTCTACTTGCTGTGTGACCCCAGGCACACCCCAAGCCTCCATAAGACCTAAGTACCTCATCAAAGCAACACTGCCTTCTGGACTTCTCTGCAGAGTGTGACTTCAGGCAAAGCTGTAGAGCCCGTGTGGCTCTCCCTTGCTCTCTGATCACCCACTTGACTCAGAAAGTCATGGACACTGTAGGTCCTCAACACAGCCGGATCTGTCAGCCTCCAGCACTGCTTCACTGACCAAAGGGAGCATCAGGGACACGAGCTTCCGGCCGCAGCCCCAAAACATCGTGACTGGACCTGAGACTTAAGATCACTCCACAACCAGCTGAAGTAGCACCACCTTGTGGACCCATAGAGACCATGGGACACAACAGCAGTTTGTCACACAGCAGTACATGAGCTGACACATCTGTCCTGCTGTGATACACAGATGGAATGTGTCCGCTTATGATGTGTGCTGGGTTCGTGTCTAGCAAAGGTCACTTTCCTTCCTAGGGCCTGTTTATGACAAACCCTGTAGATCATCCCCACCTACAGACAAATCATCCGGTCCAGTAAGGAGAACCCGAGATAATCCAGCATCAGGAGTGGTTAAACACATTTGAACCAAAGATGGTCAAATGCCCAGGTGGGCCTTACAGACTCAAGAACACACAGGCACTTCCGTCTACCTTGTCACAGGTGAGAAAACACTCACACCTGAGCAGAATCACTGGACTGTGTGGTGGCTTCATATTCTTTTGGCTTCTTTGCCAAGACTTACAGCATCATGAGAATGGACAGAAATGTTTGCACGGTAAGGAAATGCAGGCTTCTCCACATGCATCTTCCCATCCAAAGAGAACACGGTTCTAGAAGACTGCTGTTTCAAGGTCATGTTCAGGATGCTAAGGGTCTCCAGTTCTTGGATTTTACAATCCTACCCTGCCATGTTCCTTAATACTAAGATCCACAGATATTTTGTATTTATAGAGTTTTGGAGGATCAAAAAAGGCTTGTTCACAACATTTTAAACTCTCAAAGATTGGCTGTACGTCTACCCTCAGGCCCACTGGAGTCCCCTACCCAGGCTGATTTCCCTGGCTCCAGCTCCACATATGGCCCTTCTATCGAAATGTACCCACTGAGTGTCTCACTCCACAGTACCCTGGGGTGCTGGGTAGGGTGAGACCACAGGCTCAAGGGCCAATGCACATGCAGGTGGTGGGGGCAAGGCAGGGTGAGGCAGGGTGAGGGAGAAAAGGCTCAGAGGCAGTGATTACCTGCAGAAGAAGCCGCTTGGGTTTCGGACCTCTCTTCCTATACCCTGATGCTCGGTCTCTCTCCTCCCTAAGAGTGTGAGTTAGAAGAAAAAGAGACATTGATGACATCTAAGAGGAGATGCTTCACCCCCTCCTCCATCATGTGTTTGGTCGGGGACATCATTGGCCACCCCACACTCCTTATTACTCTGGGGACACAGTGGGATTGACATTCAAGTTCTAGGGCCTAGGCTTCATCCTCAAAACACACAGGTATTTGCTACACTGGGGCCAGCCACACAGGGCTCTGCTGTTCATGCTACTTAGGGACTCCATAAGAATGGAGCTCTACTGTCTACTGGAGGGAGGGAAGCTGGCAGCCCAGTCTGCCCTGAGCATCTCGGGGCACCAACGGGCATAGCATGTCCCTTGGTGAGGGGAGCTCCGCCCAGCCACCCTTCCGGACTTACTGGAATCTGCAGAGACAGGAGGGAACCTGTCTCATCTAAGTACGTAGGGAAGATGAGTGCTTCCCTCATGAAGCAACTTCAGCCTGAATGACACAGCTCAAGATGGCAAGTGACAGTGCCAAAGTCACAGGACACTCAGTACTCTTCTCTGCCTGACTCAGTGCACCCCACTCATGCTTCCTTCCTGTAGCCCATGAAACCTCAGGACACCAGAAGGAAGGCAGGGCTGGGAGCTGGCTCATTTTCTAAAAGGATTTGGGTGACCTTAGGCCCCCTTCCTGTCTGGGCTCTCTATAAAGGAGTCCTCCCGAAATGTCTTAACGTGGTCTTCTTGGCGGGACCTACCACACCCTTGCCTGGCAAAAGTCTCCTGATACAAGGAATGAGCACCTGGCCTTGACACTTCCCATGCTTTCTCTGTCACAGTCGAGGACAGTCCACACACATGGGGATGGTGGCATATGTCTATAATGCCAGCACAAGGGAGGTAGAGGCAAGAGGGTTGCCACAAGTGTAAGGACTTAGTGAGACCTTGTCTTAGAAAACCAAGACCTTCCATCCACAGAACTCATCAGTGACACGGCACTAGTGGTTCTCAGCCTTACTAATCCTCCAACCCTTTAATACAGTTCCTCTTGTTGTGGTGACCCCAACCATAAACTTATTTCAATTGATACTTCATAACTGTCATTTTGCTACTGTTTATGAATTATAATAAAAATAAATACCTATGTTTTCTGATGGTCTTAGGAGACCCCGATTGACTCTCAGTTTGAGAACCATTGCTCCTAAGAACTTAGAGAACAGAAAGAAACCACAGGACAGAACTGCCACCATCACAATGAGTTAGGAGAAATGGTGAAGGACTGGAGAGATGACTCAGGATTTAAGAGCACTGGCTGTTCTTGTGGAAGACTCAGGTTCAATTCCCAGCACCCACATGAAGCTAACACTGGCTAACATACTGGCAGCTAACCCACATGAAGACTGTCTATGACTCCAGTTTCAGGGGATCTGACACCCTCTTCAGGTCTCTAGAGGTACTGCATATAATGGTACGTACACATGCACTCAGGCATGCACACACAAACATAAAATAAACATTAAAAAGAACAATGGTGCCTAGGTGGTGGTGGCACACCCCTTTAATCCCAGCACTTGGAAGGCAGAAGCAGGATCTCTGAGTTCAAGGCTAGCCTAGTCTACAGAGTGAGTTCCAGGACAGTCAGGGCTACACAGAGAGACCCTGTCTTTTTTTTTCTTTTTTGTTTTTTTTTTTGAGACAGGGTTTCTCTGTATAGCTCTGGCTGTCCTGGAACTCACTTTGTAAACCAGGCTGGCCTCAAACTCAGAAATCTGCCTGCCTCTGCCTCCCAAGTGTTGGGATTAAAGGCGTGTGCCACCACTGCCCAGCTGACGCTGTCTTGAAAGACCAACAAAATGACAACAAAAAAGGAACAGTGACAACACATGTGAACAGTGACAACACACGAGAACAGTGACGACACATGCTTTGATGTGGTTCCAGAAGCCTCTGGGGAGAAGCAGGAGTGTAGCAATGAGGTCAGCTGTCACAGGTCAGCTGTCACAGGTGCTGTGTGCAAAGCTCCTGGACAAGCCCCTCCCCCACCCCACTTCCCAGATCGGCTTCAGTCTCCTCATGTGTCCAATGACACCGTACATGATGTTTGTCTATGCTCAGCCCAGGGACTGGCACTATGAGGAGGTGTGGCCCTGTTGGAGTAGTTGTGTCACTATGGGTGTGGGCCTTAAGACTCTCATCCTAGCTGCCTGGAAGTCAGTCTTCTCCTAGTGTCCTTCAGATGAAGGTGTAGAACTCTCAGCTCCTCCTGCATCACGCCTGCCTGGACACTGCCATGATAATGGACTGAACCACTGAACCTGTAAGCCAGCCCTAATTAAATGTTGTCCCTTATAATACTTGCCTTTGTCATAGTGTCTGTTCACATCAGTAAAACCCTAACTAAGACAGACCCTCACTCCTGTGTCTGGAGATTACCAAAAGGAGCCAAAAAAACAAAACAAAACAAAACAAAACAAAACAAAACAAAACAAAAAAACAGAAAACAGAAAACAAAACCACAACGGTTTTGAGAACTACAAGTACCAAGTAGCACACACCCTACATCCAGCTCATGGGAGAATGGGAGAGTGCGCCAGACTACAGGACCAAGGCTACACAGCTATAGCAAGACTGTTGAAAAACCAGCATTAGGAGTGGGGGTAGGGGTGGGGACACTGTTGAGATCTCTCAGCTAGTGAAGGGGCTTACTGGGAAGTCTGACAAGCTGAGTTCTATTCCTGAGTTCTATCTCGACAGAAGGAAAGAACCAATGCAAAGTGTCCTTTATGCTCACACATGCACTGTGGTATGCCAACACACTCACGCACATATGTAAATAGACGTAATTTAAAAATGACATGTTGCGGAACACTTCGTGGTCCACGTGAGGGTAGTGAGGCCTGTGGGATGCTGGGGTCACAACTCTCAGCAGGGCGCTGAGGAGCCCAGAAGCCAAGCCTTCCTCACATCCTGCCTGACTTTATTAGACTTCCTTCTTTGACAGGGGAAGTTCGGATGCTGCCATTCACACATGGGGCTCATCGGTCAGCGTTTCTGAATAAATCCTCAGCCAGGGACTAGGAAGCTACAGGAGGGTAGGTGCTGGCGCAGAGGGAGACACCAGCAGGCCATAGGGGTGGGTCCTAGGTGTCACCATCTTTCCCTGCCACGCACACCCACAACCCACTCTGCCCTAAAGATCCTTGCCCAAGGCCAGGACTCTGGCAGGCTTCCTAAGATATCTTGGGGCTGGCCTTTGGCCAGGCCCAGAACAGGCAGGGCCCTTACTTCTCCTCGTAGGCCATGACAAGGCGGGGGTCCAGGATGTGCTCCTCTGGCTCCCATGTGCTGTACCTGCGGAGAAGAACAAAAGGTCAGAGCCACACTGCCTCCACCAGTGTCATAGAGGCTGCCACTGTACGCTATGCCTGCCTATCACCTAGCCTTAGCCTCCGGGAGCTGCATGACATCACAACCCCTTCATTCATGCCACGAGGCAATCAAGACTCCCACTGCAAACTCCAGCTAGATCCAGATCCAACTGAGGCCTAAGGAAACCTATCTTCCCCATCCTACAACATGGCAGAGGCTCTGGGGCTAGTCTATCTAGGTTCAAATCCCAGCTCCGAGCCTAGCTGACTATGCAGTCTTAAGTTATGTGCTTAGCAGCCCTGTGTATCTGTGTCCCTCTCTGTGAGGTACTAACTACGGGTCTCAGGGCTGTTTGGTCATGCCTGGCAGGGAGAAAAGGTTTTGCTGCTTGTGTTTTTATGTTGCTCTGCCTCAGCTCCACCCTAGCCCAACTGGCGTCTCTACCATCAAGCAAGGCCTAAGCCCTTCTCTCTGAGCCTGGCCCACAACAGGTGCATCTAGTGATAAGAGGCATCTTATTTATTTGGTTTTTCAAGACAGGGTTTCTCTGCATAGGTCTGGCTGCCCTGGACCTCTCACTCTGTAGACCAGGCTGGCCTTGAATTCACAAGAGATCTGCCTGCCTCTGCCTCCCTAATGCTAAGATTAAAGGTGTATGCTGCCACTGCCCAGCTGACAGGTATCTTAAAAGAACATAAATGAATACAAATTTAAAGCAACAGAAGGGAAAATTGTATCAATTATAGCTACAAGTATAAAGCTGTAACTAAAAATCACTGGATGGATGCCTGGGTGTTCTGGTCTACAAACTGAGCTCCAGGCAGGCCAGAACTATGTAGTAAGTCCTCATCTTTACAAAAAAATCATGGCCTCAACTATCCACTCTGGACAACCACAGAGACACTTGTTTATCTGCCTCGGCTGCTGCCCTGCTCATCATGGCTGGGCACTGGAGCCAGTGCGTCAGATGATGAAGACACAGTAAGCTGTGCCACATACCCAGTGGAATGTCACTCAGAGGCAAAGAAGAACAAGGGACAAAATTCACAGGAAAATGGATGGAAGTGACAAATGTTATAAACTTAAATGAAGTAATCCAGGCCCACAAAGGAAGACAGCACCTTTCTCAGAGATGCAGCCTAGCTTCAGCGGTTTGGACTTGTATTAATCTGTGGCATCTGTAGAGGTCAGGAAACTAGAAAGGTCCCTTAAGACAGAGGGGGAAAGACTTTGAAGGGGGAGAGGACAAGCAGGACACACATGGCATTAGAGTAGATAGGATGGTACGCCAGGGGTGAGAGGCTTAAGTGGGGTGAGAGCAGGGAGTGGGGGGAAGTGCCAGTCACAACTATGAAGGTATGAAAAGTCTTATGAAAAATCCACTAATCGGGAAGCTAATTTTTAAAATGTAGGGGCTGGAAAGATGGCTCAGCAGCTGTTCTTGCAGAGAGCAGGAGTTCAGTTCCCAGGACCAGATCAGGCAGCTCACAGGTATCACCTAGTTCGCCCTCTTCTGGTCTCCTGGGCACTGGTGCTCATGTGTACACAAACACATACATACAGGTGAGGAGGAGTAGTAATAAACCATGTATTTTTTTAAAAAGATTTTAAATTTTATGTGCATTGGTGTTTTGCCTACATGTATGTCTGTGAAAGATACCAGATCCTCTGGAACTGGACTTAGCTGCCACGTGGGTGCTGCTGGGAATTGAACCCTGGTCCTCTGGAGGAGCAGCCAGTGCTCTTAACCATTCCTCCAGCCCCAAATCATATTTTCTAACAGGAGCTGAGTGTTGAGTGTGTGGCTCAGCAGGTAGAGGCAATTGCTGTCCAGCTTGACAACCTGACTTTGATCCTTGGTAGCTACTAGGCAGACAGAGAACCAAGTTCTCCTTTCCCTTCCACAGTGACACACACACGCACGTGCATACATGTACACATACACACATCTTGGAGTCCAGGACTCAGGAGGTAGAGGCAGGTGGATCTCCGTGAGTTTGAGGCCAGCCTAGTTTACAGAGTGAGTTCCAGGATAGAAAGGGTTACACAGAGAAACCCTGTCGTGAAAATACAACAATAAACAACAAAACAAAACAGGGAAATACGGCCACATTTAGGGGCTGGAGAGATGGCTCAACAGGTAAGAGCACTGACTGCTCTTCCAGAGGACTTGAGTTCAATTCCCAAAAACCATATGGTGGGTAGCTCACAACCATCCATAACTCCACTTTTAGGGGATCTGATGCCTTCCTCTGGCCTCTGAGGCACTCAGGTGGTATACACACATATATGCAAGCACAATGAGTCATATGCATAACAAGTTGTAAAAATTCACATCTTTTAAAAATGCCTTATGCACGGGGCTAGAGATGGCTCAGGGGTTAAGAGCACTAACTACTCTTCCAGAGGCCCTGAGTTCAATTCCCAGCAACCACATGGTGGCTCACAACCATCTATAATGAGATCTGATGTCCTCTTCTGGTATGTCTGAAGACAGCAACAGTACACTCATTAAAATAAAACAAAACAAAAAAACAAAAAAATAACCATTGTCAGAAAAAAACATTATATATACATGAAATTATTAAAGAATAAAATATGAATATACATGAAGGATAATATAAGGTATAAAATATAAATTCATACATGACATAAAAATGGTACATAAGCCAGGCAGTGGTGGTGCACGCCTTTAATCCCAGCACTCGGGGAGGGAGAGGCAGGCAGATTTCTGAGTTTGAGCCCAGCCTGGTCTACAAAGTGAGTTCCAGGACAGCCAGGGCTACTCGGAGAAATCCTGTCTCAAAAAACAAACAAACAAACACCAAAAAACAAAAACAAGCAAAAAAAGAAGATACATATTATATATAAAGTATATCATACATACATACACACAGACACAGACAGACAGACAGACACACACACAATTTGGTTTTTTCAACGCAGGTTTTCTCTGTGTAGCCCTGGCCATCCTGGAACTCACTCTGTAGACTAGGCTGGCCTCAAACTCAGAAATCCACCTGTCCAGTGCTACATGAATTTTTTTGAACCCAAACAAACCCAGTCAGCCATGTTCTGTGAATCAGGCCAAGGTCCTCCTGGAGAAAGCAAACGACTGGGTGGAAGGGCTCTTGGCAAGGAAAAAGGAGGCAGAGGAACACCCTAAAAGCTCTGGGACACTGGACCAGGGGGAAGGGCAAGGCACCAGGCACAGTACTCTTCCTCTCTCCCTCTTTGTCACTACTCGGTTGACATGTGGGATCCTGGGCTGCCTCTAGGTGTTCAGCAATAAGTCCAGCATACAAACTCTTCTCTGGGTCCAGCAGCCATCCCTTAGCTATCCCTAAAAGCCAGGGTTTTGTGGTTTCCCTTCCCAACTGGCTCTTGCTGGACAAGACCAATACAACTATGACTGCAACTGGTACAGTCCAGGGGCCGCTGCCTCTCGGAGCCCCAGGTTCTAGGAAAGCTACCGAGCTGACCACTACCAGGACAGGGACTGGAACTCATGCCTTCGGCTCACTCCCCCCTCACTACCTGCTCAGTTTCTCTGGCCGGCCCTGCCACCTCCAGGCCCATTTCTTATTGCTACAGCTACTTTGCGTTTCTAGGCATGTCCCTACCCTTCTCCACACCTCTGTTCATCTAAAAACAACTGTCTCCACAGTCACACCAAATACACCAGACTACCTGGAAGAACTGGCAACCCCGCCCCCAATGTATTTCACAAAGGCAGGTTCCTAAATAATCACTCCAGTTTAGAGATGAAAAAAGGCACAGAGGTTAATCAACTTGCCCAAGGTCATCTCCTGGGCTAGCATCACTGCCTAGATTTATGGCCTTTAAGCCCTGCAAGCTGTGAAAACAGAAAAGGGGGGCCAGGGTCCTAGAACCAAGTCCCTAGGCAGAGAAAGGAAGTAGCAGGACGGAAGGAGGTGGGAGGACCATCAGCCAGAGGCAAAGAGAAACAGCAAGGTCTTGAAGAGAGAGGCCCAAAGCTTGATGCGAAATGCCGCTGCAAATATCTGACGTACAGGGAGCACTGCGCTTGCGCACTCAAGAAGCCTGAGGGGGCGAGCCCAGATCGCTGGAAACCTATCCGGGCAGAGCACGCCTGCCGGCTGGAGATAAACACGGCCACGTGACAGTCGCCCCGCCCCTACACTGCCCCAGCCCGGTAAACAAGATCTACTACTACCGTGGCTACACAGTACCCGCGAGCTGGAGTCAGGCGACTGGGTGGGGTTGGTCGCAACACCCTAGCAAGACAGGTCGCTGGGTCCCAGCCGGCCGTTGCAGGGTGGGGGAGGGGACTGCGGGTGATGTATACAGAAACTGGGTGAGCTGGGGCCTCGCGGAGCAAGGCCAGCAAGGCCAGCGGCAGCTCCACGACTCCAGTTTCAACCGCCCCAACTGCTGAGCCTCATTCTAGAGCTGGTCTCCCTGCAATCACTTCGCTTTGAGTTGTGGAGAAGATTCCATGTATTATGCTGTGACTCGCATACTTGAGTATGGCACATTATAAAATCCAAGAAGCGTGGCATGGCTACCAGGGCTAAACCAGGCTTCTGGGCCTTGAGAGGAGGCTCCTTACCTGGCTGCCTATACCTGGGTGCATTAGTGACTCCTAGCGGGCTTCATTTAAATATGAGGAAAAGGAGGCAGAGCGAAAAGTTGAAAAGTTAGAGTTTTGCCTTGGGTCACAGCTTGTCAATCATAACCAAAGTTCATAAGGAGGCATGATAGCCTGGTGTCAGAAAGGCTAACATCAAGACACAGGGCCCCTTTGGCCCACACTGGCCGAGTATCTCAGGGGTAGGTCAGAATCTCACTTGAGTTTCTTCTATACCCCATCTGAAAAGTGGTGACACCTGGCTCATGCCAGGACTCTCCCACTGGCAGCTTGGTAACTGATGCTGTTACTCAAGCTCCAATGAGCAGTCTTTCTGAAAAGATGGAGCTATATTTATCCAAGATAAGAACGAGGGTCTCCAAGATGGAGCAGCAGGGTGCTGGGCAGGGAGAGGCAAAAATGGAGTATTCAAGGGTCTCTGAAGCAAACAGAGCACCTGAAGTTAACACCCTCTGCCTGACATCCCCAGAAGATCCAAGGGTTCTCCTCCACCACAATCACTTGGGAAGGGGAGGCTGTTGTTGCCTTTTACTGGAGAGAAAATGGGTAGGAACAAAATTGGCCAGGCAAGGACTCCTTCCTGTCACTACTACTGAGTATTTCCTTATCTAGCCATGAGGAGAGTAGCTATAAAATGGGAGGATCTCACCCTGGTCACTAGGCTAGACAACACCCACTCCCCACACTCTCTCAGCCTCTGTTCAAAGTTAATTCCCTGAAAACCAGCTGATCAGATGCCCTGGCCTTATCCCCAGCTCAATCCTCTCCAGGTGAGGTGGGGCTGCCTCACACAGGTGGCTTGGGTATTGTGCTGTGGGCGTTCGCTGTTATGTTCTTGTAATGACTTCCTATCCCTGAGCCTCAGTTTCTCCCTCTGAAAGAGACGGTATTTTTCTAAGGAAACTTTAAGCTCCTATTTTGGAATGGAATCTTTACTTCCAAAAGAAAAACACAGCTTATGGGGCCTCCCTGTACTATCAGTCCAACCCCCGAGAACAAGTGATTGGTTCTAGGAGAGGCTTTGAGGGTTCAGTATTTGAAGACCAGCAAATAGAGGCGGAGGGCTTGCCCAAGGGCTCACAGGTTCCCACGGGGCAGCCAGGCCTTAAGTTCTGCAGCAAAGGGGGAGAAGGTATTCTCAGAAGATATAGTCAAATGGCTCTGAGCAGACACAGGAGGGCTATCAAGGCACTAGCTCCAGCTCTCCTCAGGGAAGCTGTCGATATGATCAGCTGCAGCTGAAGATAACGCAGCTGAGCCCCACTGAGGACACTGACCACTAGTGACCAATGGAGGGGCATTTGGGAATGGAAGATGGGATAGAGGGGAGGCTAGACCAATGTGTGATGTGCATGTCAGTCATCAGGTACAGCACCTGGATGCCTACAATCCACCCTGAACCAATACCCAGGCCTTTCAACTTGCCAGGCTAAGCAGCCTGGGAGAAAAGTGAAGGCCTGGGCCACTGAACCCCTTTTATAGAGGGGAAAGTTGAGGCATTTGAGGGCTGTCTTCCCCTCTTCCCATCATCTCTCCATGATATCTCGGGACCCAATCACAGGTCAGCCCTCCACCTCCATCCCTCCCACACACAGACAGGAGAAGCGGACAGTCCGGTCCAGAGGTTGTCAGAGCCATCAGGAAAGCAGAGGAGTTTTCCAGGAGGCAGGGCAGATCATTCACAAGCCAATAGAGGTCCTATGTCTAGCTTGTTGCCACCAGTAACAACTCTCCGCTGGGAGGTGACATCACCAGAGGCCCACAGGCTGTGCTGGGTATAAAACGTAGCTTTCTACCCCACAACATTAGGAAAGACTATTGGGAATTCAGAGAAGCCTGGAAGTAGCCAGGCTCAGCTCTGCCTCCCCTTGCTCTGTGACCCAAGGAAAGTTGCTTATTGTCTCTGACTCTGTTTCTTCATCGGAAAAGCTCAGAAACACAGCAACTTAAAAGACAAGGCCTGGTAACTTATTCTGCAGGCAAGGGAGCACCAGATCCAAGATGACCCAGGCTCTGCCCCTCCCTACACTGAATGCAGTGAGGACTGGGGAGCCACCCCCAAGGTCCCCTCTCACCTAGCACTGTACCTGCCCACACAGGGACCTCTTTACCTGGCCAGCAGGGGGGCAGGATGAGGGGACAAGCAGGACACTCCTTACCAGGGGGGAATTAAGGCCTAGAAAATTTTGCTGGTGATTTAGGAATGCTTGCCATAAAAACATCAAGAGCTGAAGCCAGCGTGGTGAGAGGCTGACAGACAGGGGACACACACAAGAGTCTTACTTGGGAGGCCATCCTTTCCACTTCACCAGGTATTCAACTTTGCCCTGTGAAAAGAAGAAAGAAGACCATGAGACCCGCACACTCTACAACCACCTGCCGGACGATAAAGGTGAAAGGACCCTCTGCAACAATACAGTATCACCAACCTGTGAACCTCAAGACTGTCAACCTGGAGTCGACGCCCCCTCCCCCACAACTCTGGCTACTACTTGACATTCCCACAGACCTCCGTAATGTCCCATGGGAGTGTATCTGGTCCCAGACATCCCTGGAATCCAACATAAGGGGCTCATGTCACAGAGAGAAACTGAGACCATAGGAGAGCACAAGTGCAGAATGCAGAGCTGGCATAGGGGCGGAAGTCCCATGCCAAGACCATGATTCCTCACTTTCAAAAGACGGCGGGCCCTCCACTTGTTAGGAACTGGAGTCTCAAGGGAAAGGAGTCTTTAATTGTCCTGTTCAGCACCATGCACTGAATGAAGCATCAACATTGAAGAGTTTTTGAATACCTCCTCTCCGATCACCTTGCCAAAGATTCCCTCCCTAGCACCACTCAGTGGACAGCTCTTTATGAAAAGCACCTAGTCCGCTAAAGGCATCCGTCTTTACTTCCTCGTTCATCCTGCATCCTTGTCCTCTGCCAGAAAATCAGTTTTGAGAGACAGAACGGAGCCTTGGGCTTCAGAGCGGTATCTAGAATACACGGCCGCCTCGGGAGATCTGGCAGTGCTGAGCTGAACGAATAAGTTCCCCGTCTCACCTACTCCTGTGCCCTGTTAGAGATGATGTCTATACCCGCTTCAGTCTAGTACCCTGGAAAGGCAAGGAAAGAAAGCAGCCCTAACCAATAGATAGCCAAGCTCCAAGCCACCTACCTTGGGCCCACCCAAACCCCTGCTGAGGACACTACAGCTGGTACTCCCTGCCTTTTCAAGTGGAAAAAGGTGGCTGGCAAGAGCCTCCCAAAGAGATGCGGGGAGAAAAGGAAAGAGGTCCCTTCCGCAGATCCAGGACAGGAACTCTTCTCACTGCATATGCCCAGATCCAAGTTCAAGCTAGGATGAGTCCCTCGGCAAGCACGTGCACATAGATTGCAGACTTGAGGTCAGGACCGGAAACTGCAGGCTGAGGTGTGTAGTCCTGAGCGCGGCAAAAGCGCCTCCTTAAATCTCAGAGTGTGTGCATGTGGAAGGCCTTGGCAGAGGTGGGAGGAGCTTCGAGGATGCCCCAACAACAGTGACCCAGGCTTCGGAGCGACACCCAGCTGGAAGGTTGGGGGAGGGGAGGAATGGGAGAGGAGAAGAAAGGTGTGCCCTGGGGGGTTGGGATCGGGAAGGTCAAAGTCCAACATGAAAACTTCAGAGGCCTTTGGAGACTTTCCCAAAGCTCTGCTGCCAACTTCAAAGGACTTGGTACTAAACATCCTGGGAGCCGAGTTCGAGACTCACTTTGACTCTAACGCACTGGCAAGTTGCTTCTTCAACTTGAGCTTTAGTCTCCTCGAAAGTGATCGAAAAGGGGACGAAGCGGAATGGAGTTCAGGATCTCCTGTCCCATCCTCATCTCCATCCTAGGTGGCCTCAGATGGACTAGCATCTGAGGGCAACAACTTTAACTCTACTGGCCCTACATAGTGGCGGGGAAAGTGGGGAAGAGGATGTGGAGACCGGCCAGGCAGCCTAGGGTCCCTAGGTGAACCCCGCACCACTTTCTGCTCTGCCCCACCTGGAGTGGGCGGTGCTGGGGAGCGGGAGGGGACCTCGCCCCGTCCCGGGAGCCGCCCCCGAGCAGCCTCACCTTCCGCACGCGCTTCTTCCGGATGCTCTCCACCGCAAACACCTGCTCGCCTATGGCTGACAGCTCCATGCGGGGCGGCGGGCGAGTGGGCCCGGGGCCGGACGGGCCGGGGGTGGAGCTCCGGGGCCGCGGCTGCTGCGCGCGATGCTCGGGACGGCAGGGACCCCGTCAGGCTCGTCCGGGCGCGCACGCGCACGCGCGCACACCCCCTAGTGCTCCCTCACGCCGCCGACGTTCCATTTTTGAACCTGCGCAACGTTTTCCCCAGCGCCAGAGAACGGGTGCGCGCGCGCGCGGGCGTGCCTCTGAGAGCGCCCAGAGGGTCAGCTCCGCCCCCTCGCTGCCGGAGCCACGCCCCTCTCCTTAACCCCGCCTGCTGACCAAATTGGGCAGCTGGCAGCAGGTCTGATGCTCTTGGCTTACTTGGATTTTAGGGTCTAAATGGAGCGATCTAAGGTCCGCCCCATCTCTTTGGACTGGACGTGATCAGTCTCCCCAAGTCCCCCTAATGACTGGGAAGGTCCGAAAAGAAGTGGCCCTGAAGCTGAGCGTAGCAAGCCTGTAATCTCAGCATTTGGGCAGCTGAGGCAGGAGGATCAGGAGTTCAAGGCCAACCTTAACTATGTAATACCCTGGCTCAAATAAATAAATTGAAACAAGGGTCGGAGAGATGGCACTTCTGCTCTTTCAGGGGACCTGGGTTGGTTCCCAACTCCACATTAATGGTTCACAACCACAGTTCCATGGAATTTCATACTATCCTCTGATATACTCGGCATGCACAACATGTACACACACACACACACACGCAGGCTAGCAACCACTCATTCACATAAAATATTTTTTCAAGAATAAGACAAGACCTTAAAGCTAGAGGTAGTACCTCACACCTTTAATTCCATCACTCGGGAAGCAGAGCCACCTTGGTCTACACAGTGAATTCCAGGACAGCCAGAAGAACTATGTGGAGAGATCCTGTCTTAAAAATATAATAAAATAAAAATAAATAAAATGAAATCTTTAAAAAACAAAATGAAAAATTTAAAAATGTTGTGGAGCCGTATTGTGTAGATAGGAAACAGGTACAGAGTAAAAGATCATTTCCTTCCTTTCCTACAAAGAAGACCAGGCCGGGCCGGGCCGGTGGCGGGCAGGAGGGACAGACAGCCAAGGCTTTCCACACGGAGTGCGTAGTCTAGGCAGGCCTGAACAGGTGCCTCTGCGTCCACCGATCCATGCTTCCACCCATCAACCCGAACCAGTCTTAGCCAGTGATGGTAAAACGCACCGGGCCACACACTCGAGCGCGCTATCCCGAGGGCCCAGGCTAGGTACCAACACCTCGTCGCAAGCGGAGACCCGCTTTTGCCGGCAGCAGATCCCGCCACTGCCTGGGCTGCAGTGGTTTTCGCTCGCGCCCTTCGTTTGCTGCACGTTTGCCGCAACTAAGTGTGGAAGGAAGGAAGGACGCACCCCAGACCCAGCATTAAGCCTTTTCAGTTTTCGGCACAGTGGGGAACAGGTCCGAGTCGCGCCCCCCCCCCACTACTCCCATTTCCTCTTCATCCCAGCGGCTCTGACCTCCTGCAGGTGACTCAGGGCTTACCCCTCAACATCACCACCCCCACAGCCCAGACTCTTAGCAACAACCCCCTCCCCCATGGGGGCCCTGTGACCCAGTGCGCTTTCTACCACCAGACCCGACCCAGTCACCCAGTGCTTAGAAACATTCCAGGGTTCCCTATTCTTAGAATAAACTCTCAACACCTATGTCTGGCGAAGAAAAAAAAAAGAGAGAGAGAACCGTACATTGGCACCTAAGTTGTTTTTTTTTGTTTTTTTATCAAGCGCAAAGGATGCCAAAAGGCAGGGGACGACTTGTCCCTGTCCCCAGACACAATTACCATCACCGGAGAACTATATATTCCGTGGAAATATCTACTAAGAACAAAGATACAATGAAGACATTTACGAATACAGACGCTAGAAATTTCCCAATCCCTGAGGGGAATTCCAACCCAAGAACTAGGCAAGGGGGGGATGGAGGGGGGGCGGTGCGGCGGACAGAGAGGTCTGAGGAGAGAAGCAATGAGGAAGAGACAATGAAAACACTGATGGCGGAAAAAAAGCAGAAACCGCATTTCCCAGAGAAAAATTAACAAGAAATTAACAAGAGGCAGGGTAACTGGGGCGAGCGGAGTTCAATATCCTAATACTAATATCCTATACACCCCGGAGCAAAATAAGTTAAGAATACAAGTTGCCAAGGTTCGAGTAAATACCAAAGGAAGGCAAACTCAGAGGTCAGTTCTGTGCACCAGAGTGGAGGAAAAAAACACCGAGAAAAGCAACCAAGCAAGAAGAGAGAAAATAAACCCAGATGACTTAAGTTCAAATGTCCTGTGTCTCAGTAAACGCAGGGAACTAATAGTAGGGTCAATTAAAAAAAAAAATCAGGCTGCAAGAAATTCCCCAGCAGATGCAGTTTGCAGAGGTGTTTGTAAAGAAGGGATAGTAAACTGCCGACGGAGGGCAAACAAGAAGTGAACTCTAAGGGAGAAGGGAAGAGGCTGGCGGAGCTATTTAAATATGAGGGAAAACGCATCACAAAGACAAAGGAAGGCCCTTCTGCAGAAGAGACCACTTTACCAGGAGAATGGTTTCGAATTGGCATGCAAAACACCACAGCTGAAGGGGTGGGGGGGAGGCAGATGCTTACAAAAAAGACACAGGAATCCACAAATTAGAGTGAGAAGTTTACCACCCCACCCTCGGTAGACCAGCAGAGAAATATTTAGTAAGAGACCTGGAATTTTAACGTGATTTGTAAACTTGACTAATGGGCTTTCCTACATTGCCTACAGTGTTCTTTCTTCTCTTTGGTTTTTTTGGTGAAAGGGTTTCCCTGTGTAGCCCTGGCTGTTCTGGAACTCACTCTGTAGACCACGCTGGCCTCGAATGCACAAGAGTGCCGGCCTCTGCCTCCAGAGTGCTGGGATTTTTATTTTATTTATTTAGAAAGGACTTAACAGTATTGACAACCCTCTGGGGAAAATAAGCAAGAATAAGATGCAACTAGCTGACACTAGGGGTAAAAAAGTGAAAAATCTGCAGTGTTGGAAATCTAGACTACATGGGAAAGCCATTTACCAAAAAAACAAAACAAACAAATGAAAAAAACCCCACTCCATTGAGAAATAAAGCTTAACAGCCCCAATTCCTGGTGAGCTAAGTGTAGCATGAGGACCCAGTCACTGGCCTCCAGTCTCTGAATTACAGGATTACCACCAAGCCCAGTTTACAGTTTTTAAAATCAAAGTAAATTAGGTCTACAAGGGAATGGTTTATTCCCAAGGGAATGGTTGACTCCCTGTGAAGGTACCAAGAAAAAAAAAATGTACCACAAATTTCCTCTTCAGTGATGAGCTGCTGGGGGCATCTGCTGGAGATGGATGGCCAGGTGGGTTCAGCCCACTCACACTGCACACTGAGCCAGCCAGATCGCAAGAGTAGGAAAAGTAAACACGGAAACCTCACCAAAACTGAGTCTCCAGCCCCGGTGGAGGCTCACAATTCCAGTCCAGCTGGTTCAATACCTTTGGCTAAAGGACCACCCCTAGGGAGGCGGGCTCACTCTAGACCAGGCTAAAGAGACCCACCCTGGGTGCAGTAGCTTACAGACTGTAACCCTGCAAGGGTCTTAAGTCCACCTGGTTTTCTGAAATTCGTAACTTTTCCTTTTATTTTTTTTAAAACTCTATTTATGTAAATGAGTGCCCTGTTTGCACGTCTGCCAGTGTGACAGAAGAAAGCATCAGACAGAAGAGGACATTAAATCCCATTACAGATGGTTATGGGCCACCATGTGGTTGCTGGGAATTGAACTCAGGACCCCTGGATAAGCAGCCATCTCTCTTAACCCTGCTGAGCCATCTCTCCAGCCCCCTCATTTATTTATCTATACCTCTTTTCTAAGCTTTCCTTAACCCTTTGGGCGTTGGCTCCAGCATGCTGGGCTTATCCTAAAACTTCCCTCCCCACCACAGGTTTGTTGATCACATGACTGATCTCCATGGCAGTTTAAATGGCCTTTCCCTTTCTCTCAATCCATGTCTGCACAGCTGCTGTGGTTTACCGATTGCTGACAGTTTTTCTAAAACTCTAATAAAATTGACCTTGGGCTCTCTTTTGAGCCTAGTCTTAAATTCTTTTATTAAGGAAACTAAGAACCCTAAGAAGGGACCCCACTTTCCCCTGTATCAGTATGGCTTGCATTGGTGACCAGAAGCCACAGTGACTGTAAAGCGCTTGAAAAGTTCGTACTCCAAGAGAGACATAAAGAGTATCAAATACAGACTTCACTGATAGTACCTGATGTGTTTATAAAAAGATATGTTCTACGGAGGTGTGCTGAGGTATGGGGGGAGGGGGTGCCTCAGGGGGCCCTTACTGAGGTATCCCTTCCCCCTGAGAGACCAGCCACAGTACAGTATAGAATAGAGTTTATTCAGGACATGGGGAGGGGAGTTAAGAAGGTAGTAGAGACAGAGGAAGCCAGAGAGAGAGTACAGGAGTGGAGAGGAGCCATGAACACATGGAGAGGGGAGGAAGGGACAGAGGACAGAGCAGGGACAGGAAGGCAAGAGCAAAAGAACAAGAGAGGACAAGGGGTAAGAGGAAGAGGAGGGGCAAGCAGCCCCTTCTATAGTGAGTCAGGCGTACCTGGCTATTGCCAGGTACCTGTGGGGAGGAACTTAGACAAAATGCTAACTACCAAAGCTAGTCATGCACACATTTAATTCCAGCACTGAGAAGTCAGGTAATCAGCTCTCTAGGAGTTCAAGGCCAGCCAGGGATACATAGTGAGAGCCCGTCTCAAACAAAGAAAATCAACAACAAGGAAAACCCAGTCCCTCCAAATCCTAGTGTAACATACCACTAACTTTTTAGCTGATTGTGGTGGCTCCTGCCTGTGATCTATTTGGAAGGCAGAAGCAGCAGGATCATTGTGAGTTTGAGCCCAGCCTAGTCTACAACTGGAAGCCATGTTTCAAAGAGCAAAACCAAGCTCTCACTACTTAATTTAATATTATTCTGGAATGATTTATTAGGCTAAATAA